GCACCTGGAGGTAGGGCCGGCGGCGGGGGGCGAGGGGAGCGGCCGCCATTCCTCTGCACTCTGCCTCTGTGTTTCAGAGGGCGCTGGACGCTTACTTCGAGGCGCCGATGAACGAGCAGGCGGCGGCGGCAGGAGAGGGCTCAGCGGGGTCCGGCAGCTGGTGAGTGCCCTTGGCGGGAGTCAGGGGGAGGAGCCCCTCTGGTCTTTATAGCTGAAAACAAGCTGTGTTTGGTAACAGCTCGACCCGAAAGCCAGGTGACGTCGGCCTCTTCTCACAGGTGACAGTGATAGGATGAGAGGGAAAGGCCTCAAGCTGTGCCCGGGGACGTTCAGGGGGGATATTAGGGGGAATTTCTTCTCCAAAGGAGCAGTGAGGCAGTGGTACAGGCTGCTGGTGAGGCCAGCATCCCTGGGGGTGTTCAGAACTGTGTGGATGCGGCACTGGGGGATGTGGTCAGTGGGTGTGTGATTCTATGGCTCTATAGAACATATATCTTTTTTCATGTAATGGTATGAAAAAAAGAATCTTACCAGGCATCATTCCACAGATGGAGTCAGAAGATGACTGCATCAAACTGGAGACACCTTTTCACAGGATTATAGAATGCCTGGATTGAAAAGGGCCACAGTGATCATCTAGTTTCAACCCCCCTGCTATGTGCAGGGTTGCCAACCACCAGACCAGGCTGCCCAGAGCCACATCCAGCCTGGCCTTGAATGCCTCCAGGGATGGGGCATCCACAACCTCCTTGGGCAACCTGTTCCAGTGTGTCACCACTCTCTGAGTGGAAAACTTTCTCTTTTCTCCCCTGTTGTCTTTGCACTGTGGTTTCTACCTTGAGCAGGGTGTACAGGTAGGGCTCTGTGGGCTTCCTGGTGAGAGAAGAGTGCAACTATGTGCTAATGTTTTGCTGCAGGGTGTTTGGCTTCCCAGCGTGCTTTTAGCAAGCTGCTGCTCAGCTCTGTGGTTGCACATCTCATGGTTGGCTGGGACTTGTGTGGCAGTGTAATCTTGTACTATTAGTTCAGTAAGACATAAGAAAACAGTACTGTGTTCTAGGAAGCATAAAAGCTTTGGGATGGAAAAGATCTCTAAGGTCATCCCACCCCCACCATGCCCACTAATCATGTTTCTTAGAGCTACATTCACATGGTTTTTGAACACCTCAAGAGTTGGTGACCTCACCACCTCCCTGGGCAGCCTGTGCCACTGCCTCTCCTCTGTTTCAGAGAAGAAAATTTTCCTAATATCCTACCTGAACCTCCCCTGGCACAACTTGAGACCATCACTCTCATCCTATCACTGTTACCTGGGAGAAGAGGCTGACCCCCACCTTGCCACAACTTCCTTTCAGGTCATGGTAGAGAGTGATAAGGTCTGCCCCAAGCCTCCTCTTCTCTAGACTGCACAATACCAGGGAATAGATATTATCAAACTGCAGTATCCCAGCAGCTGAAACAGACTTAGGTATACTATTGAACATCATTTGTTTTACATTCTCACTTTACTAAAGGAATTTTCTTTGGGCCATGCTTCATTGGTAGAGTCCTCTTTAGAGACTTAGTCCCCTGGCAGTGACTGGATTGGGCACTTGTACCTTGATGGTGCTTTTCTGAAGTGCAGTTTGGGGTGAATATTCCCCAAGAAAATGACTATCTTGTTGCATGGTTTTTTCGAGTTTGCCCTTGCCCAAGGGGAGCTCAGAAACCTCAGCTGCATTATGAGGATGGGCTCATAAAAACAAGGGCTTGACTGCAGTCTTTGTTTCTGGTATGATGGAGAATGTTTGCAGATTTTACATGCACAGTCTGCCCCTGGCACGGTGAAAGAAATGAATTCCTCAGGTGCATTGGATAGAGTTGCTTGCCATCCAGTTAATTTTAATTTGGAATGGAAGATGTTATTTTGTATCTATAAGGAAGAGGAAGAAAAGGCTCCATGTGGTTAAAGTTACTGATCTTCTGAATTGCAATAAGAGATCACTTCATATTAATTTACTTGTTGGGAAAGTTTTATATGGTTGTAAATTGTGATGGGTGTAAAACATTGTATTTTAGAAGATAAGAGAGGCAAATACAGTAAGAATAATATTATTCATGATGACAAACAATGTCTCTTTAGTATTGACCTCACAGCAGATGAAACTGCAAGTAATACCAGCAGCAGCAGTGCAGGCTCCAAGCAACAAGATGATGACAGTAGCTTCTCGCTGATAACCTGGAACATTGATGGGCTGGACCTGGGAAATCTGCAGGAGCGAGCTAGAGGTGTCTGTTCTTACCTGACATTGTAAGCATGGCATTGTCTTTGTATTGTTATGTACCCACCTTAAAGTGAGCTTCTCATTTTAGATAATGAAAAAATCTTCATGTCCAAATTATCTTCAAATTAGATGCAGTAATGAAGTCATCGTACAAATCTTAAGACTGATTGGAGGAGGTGTGAGCTTGTGCAGCATTTCAAGTTAAAGACTTTGCAGTGACTAAAAATCTTTTGGTAACGAACAGTATTGCTTACATCAAGTTTTATGCCTGTGTCAGGAGCATGCTTCACACTTCCATCCTGTACAGGAGAAGAGGGTGAAAATGCAAGAAGCTTGTTTGCTTCAGTCTGCTGGTATGAGTGACTTAATTCTGGAGCATTTGGAGGACCACCAGCATTCTTTGTTTGATTTGTTATTTGAAAAATGGAGCCCTTGCCAGTACTGTTATTTATCTATGAAGGATGATAATGTGCAAGCTAATATGAAAGCAGTAGTATCTGTGATTGACTTTTATAGTTGTACCATTTGAAGCTTCCTGTTAATACTCTTATGATTAATTTGATAATTACATAAATTGGTGTGTCTTAATATGGTAATTTATCAGTGTAAATTAAATTGTAAATTAAAAATAATTAACATTTAAACAAATGTTAATTGGTTCTTCTGAGCCCAGCAGAAACTCTTAACTAAATTGATTTTTTTTCTTGATTTTTAATGATGTGTTGATTTTTTTTTTTTTTTTTCCTGTAGAAGTGAACTTATAAGCAAGAAGGTGACTTTTTACACAGTCTAATAGTGATTGGACAAGGGGGAATGGCTTTAAACTGAAAGAGAATGAGATTAAGTTAGATGTTAAGAAGAAGTTCTTAGAGAGCGGTGAGGCGCTGGCACAGCTGCCTGGAGAAGCTGTGGTGCCCCATCCTGGAGGGGCTCAAGGCCAGACTGGATGGGGCCCTGGGCAGCTGAGCTGGTGGGGGGCAGCCCTGCCCAGGGCACAGGGTGGGGTGGGTGGGCTTTGAGAGCCCTTCCAACCCAAACCATTCTGTGATTCTATGAAATTTGTCCTCTGACTGCTTAGAGAAGGTCTATTCAGCAGTGTAACAAAAAAGGGCAGCTATAAAAGAGACTTTCAGGAGTCCTACCCCACATGTGCTGTTACTGGTGGCATAGCTCTAAGGAGCTTGGCATTGACGAATGGCAGATTAGCTGAGACGGATCTGTTGTAAAGGAATGAGATGGAGGGTAGAATTTCCTAGAAATCTTATCTGTGGCATAGTATGATCCAAAGCTGCTTTTCAGCTGTTGAAGTTAAATTTCCTTGCATATGTGATAATTGAAAATTATGCAAATGTTTTCAAGTCTAAAGGAAGTAGGGAGTTTTATTGCCATGTTGGTACTGTGCCCATAATAGTCATTGTTTTCTGCTTCAGCATCAGTGGTATGTCTACGTGCTACTATATATCATTAGTGAGGATCCTAAGATATCTAGGAAGATAAGGAAAAAATGCACCTGAAATCTCTGACCCTGTTGTGTTTGACATCAGAGTGTAATATTGTTACCTTTTGAAGTAGCTAACATCAAAACTTGTTTTGCTGATTTCAGATACAGCCCAGATGTCGTGTTTTTACAGGAGGTTATCCCACCATATCTGTGTATTCTGCAGAGGAGAGCAGGCAGTTACACCATTATTCCAGGTACGAAGTAAACCTCAATTTCTTAAGACAGAAACTGGAAAAAACAAGTACAGTTTTGTTCTGTCTTCCTTGCCAAAAGCTTTGACCTCCTGTAGCAACTGAAAAGACTAAGATGACGAAGGAAACATTTAAATTACTTGCTCTATTTTACTACCACCATATAGTTGGATGCAAATTACTCCTGTGAAAGGTTTGCTTGACCAATGGTCTTTTATGTATTTATATTTTTTTCCCACGTTTTGAAAAACTATAGCAAAATTATCCCAAAAAGCACCACAGATGAGTAGTTGCTTAAACATTTGTATTAAAAACAAATTCACACCACTGTTAAGAAACTTCTGAGTAATCATTTTGTACATCTTGCAAACTAGAATTTTTCTCCCAGATGATAATAATGAGATCTGTGGAAGAGCTTTAACTTTATCCTGTGGCAGATGTCCATGACCTTTTATTTGCCTGTTCCTCTCCAGGTAATGTAGATGGCTATTTCACTGCCATGCTGTTGAAGAAACCCAGAGTGAAAGTACTAAAGCAGGAGATAATACGTTTTCCAACCACTTCCATGATGAGGAACCTTTTGGTTGTGCATGTGAGTCACTCTGTCAGTACTACAGCTGTGTGTCTGTCTTCAGAACAATAGAATCACAGAAAGTTGGGCTGGCCTTATTCAGTGGCAGTCTTACACAGAGCATAAACATTTCTTTAAACATATGAATCAAATTGCATTTGGCACAAATAAAATTAAGTCTCTTACATTGCTGGCTGTACTTTGTTTTCACAACTGATAACCTCTGAAAACAAATTAGAAGCCTGTTATCCTCCTCTAAGGCACTTCTCCAGTTTATAACAAATATTAACCAGAGTTCTGTCATTCATTAATTTATTTTCTGATTATTTTTTGTCTATGATCTTCGTATCACAGTGTGGAAAGTAGCATACCTG